CAATATTTGATACAGAAAGAGTAATTTGAATAAATGAGTATAAGTACTTGATAATATGCTTTTCTTTTCCCATATATTATGAAAAGTTTCAAGCAAAATTTAAAAAGCTTGTGTATTCACCCATGTAGCTGACACCTAGAGTCTAGAATTGTTGACAAGTTTCTGCTTTTCACATCATTCTGTCTGTTTATGTATTTCATAGTGAGTTGCAGCATCAGTGACTTTCATACCTCAGCACTTCACCATGAGTAACACTGGGTCAGGGTTTCATTGTAGGGTAATGTACAAGGCTTAGGGCATATGAAGGTGGAAGACACAGTGGTGGTTCTGTGCCTCTAGTTCCAGGTACTTGGGAAGCTGAGCTCAGGAGTTTAACTTGCACAGCTCAGTGAGTTTTGACAAATGTGTACATGCCTGTAATTCAAACTCCTATAAAAGGTATAGAACATTTTCATCACCCAAGAGAGTTTCCCATACGTCTCCTTTTTTTAATTAAAAAACTATTTATTTATTTATTAATGTATGTATGTATTTATTTGGTACAGGGTCTCACTACGTGGCCTGGACTCGTAGTGATCCTCCTGTCACAGCCTCCCCAGCCCTGGGATTACAGGTGTGCACCACCACACCTGCTTTTGTGGCCAGCAGGCAGCACAACATGCAGTACCGGTAATCAAACCTGGGTCATTGCACTTACCAGGCAGGCACTTAGACCACTGAGCTCTTTCTCCAGCCCTCCCATACTTTTCTGAAGGATAATCTTTTCTGAAGGATGATCTTAACTCTGTATTCATAATCTGGACCACTGGTTAGCAAAATATAATATCCTCCTCAGTCAGGTAATGAGAAATCTAAATGAATTTAAAAACTCCAAGTGACCTAAAATTGTAACTAGGTTTTCTTTTTCTTAAACAAATGCAGTTGAGCCCACTATATTCATTTATTTTGATAAGAATGACAGAAAGCATCACACTCTTTGATGTATTTTATGCTTATTTGTGCCCTCCCCCTTTAAGCATATACAGTTATTACATCTCAGCTTTCCCTGCCAATCCTCCATTTACCCCAGTGGTTTTTAGACTCCTCCTTGTGTGCTAGGAGTTAATTGCTGTGACTTTCATGATGAAAAGTGAAAGGACCCTTACTGGCCCTCCGGGAAGCTGTGTATCATGTAGTAGAACAGTCCCATGACAGCACCTTCCGAGAGGTGAGTACTGTGTTGCAGCGGGGCCCCAAGCACTGTGCACAGTGCACTCGCTTCCAGACTAGAGTGCCCTGTCTTTCCCTGCATAAGGGAGAAAGCGGCAGCTGACTTAAGTATGACTCTGCTTTTCTTATTAACCTGCCTAAGAGCAGAATAAATGAGTTGGAAAGATTTTTTAGGTTTATTCCTTGACTATTTTACTTTTCATTTTTCTTTCTTTATCCTTGACAACAAAATAAAAGAATCCAAAGATGTATCATGTGATAAAACATATAGTCATAGCTAATAAGTTACGTTTTTGGTTTTAAAATGCTTTAAAAAATTTAAGACCTTAGTATACTGAGATTTAAACAGCTTAACTTATTGTGTAGATTTTTATTACTTTAGTGAAGATACGAAAGAAACAATTTTAAAAAACCCTCCAGAATGTAGCCTTAAAAATTCAAATTAGTGTTTTATATGTTAGTCATTTCCTTTACTCATTATGTTCATCATTGTGCTAATTAAAGATAAAAGTTAGTACTAGGCTTTAGACTACAGGATTTTTCTGTTTTAGAGGCCAACGGTCGGTCCCTTGATAATCTTGCAAATTGAGAATTCCTCCTTTGGAAGTAATATGCACAGAATACTTAAGGGAGTGTCTCAATGCCCTCCACCCTGGAAACCTCAGTTCATAGAACATTTTGGAATCAAATACTACATTTGTAGGAGAAAAGAGGGAATGTTTTGTTTTGATAGGAAAGCATTTTCTAATACTGTAATTTGATTTTTCTGGCACCCTAAATAAGGCAGTAAGCCTAATTTTACTTTGTTGCAGAAGATTAAATTTAAGGTTGAGTTCCACTTTGTTTGTAATAATTTGAAAAAGAATAGTTAATACAGATTTTAAAACAATTTCTTTCCTTTTAAGCTTTGTGTCTTGTAAAATGTGAGTTTGCCAAATTTTCTTCATCTGCTACAGATTAGGTATGCCCTTGTTGCTGCCATGTGGCGGCGCACCCGTGCTTCTTAAACGCACTGACTGGAGGTTTATCGCATCACTTGTTCACATGCACGGAGCCTGGTAACAGCCTCATCTGTATCTTGTTAGCTTCATTTTCTTATTTTTAAATTTTGTTATTTATAAACTCAACATAGCATTTAAAAATAAAGGCTAGTTTTAATGAATTAATGTTACTACGAAAAGTCATTGCTAAAGTTGTCATGCTGAAAAAAATTTTGTTAAAATGGTCTGTGTTTTAAACTGTGTTTATAGGCAGGCATGTTTTTAACCTGCCACTTTTAACTATATTTGCTAAATTTTAAATATAATTTGAAAATTAAAGGTGAAATTGAAGCTTTTATTTATGTGACAAAAGTAAGCTTTGAGACTGGGCTGTGTATTTTTATTGGCATGTAACAGTTGATATGACCACTATAAGAATTTATGTTTAAAAAGTTAAAGTGATCAACAGCTGCAGTTTTCAGTTATGTATTAGTAGGCTCAGGTGTGTGCCTTGGTAGATCTCATGTCCCGATTGACATTTTGTGGTTAGGAATTTCTGAATCATTGTGTTTGGTCTTTTATTAACAGTTTTATATAGAGGATTGATATTGTTTTCTAAAATAGCATTTTCCTCTGAAAAAGTAATACTAAAAATAATTTGAAAAAATAGGAAAACAAAAGAAGTCACTTGTCTAACACTTGTAATAAAATCAAAACATTTTGTCTTTAAGATTTCCATTCATCTTTTTTTCCCTCATGTAGTATGTTTCTTTTTCTCTATAGGAACATTTTAATAATTTGAATCATATCGACTAATTTAGTATCTTTTTCATATGCCACTTTTAATTCCTTAATTTTTATTTTTGAAAATGAGATTTTTTTCATGGCTTTGGTTTGTTTGATTTTCATGGATGCTAATACTTAATCATGTGGCACTCTCCCATTCCTTATAACCTCTAGAAAAGAAGTTTTAAAACATACTCCATTCCAAGTTCCCTTTCTGCAATTTCACAGTGATTTAGTTAACAATAAGAATTTATGTTGAATAATGTTCTGAAAATTCAAAAATATAATAATTGGGGCTAAATTGCAGTGATGATTCATTCTCACCAACACCTAAAAATGCAGTATTTATTGTACCAGTATGCATTCAGTTTTGCTAACTGATATATACCTTGGTGTTCCTTAGGCTTTTACTTGAGGTGTGGCTTTTTAAACTTCTTCCTGGTGCTGGGGTGTGAACCCATGGCTAGTGTATGTTAGCAAGTTCTCTGTCACCGAGCTGTACATCAGCAGCTTTTCACACAGATTTATAGTTATGTGAAATACAGTTACATATTTGAAAACGTGTTGCATTTATATAAAACCTTGCATTTTCCATGACATTCTTGTCATGTAATTTTTTTCTCTGCTTGAATATAATCAGTGATTAGTATTTGCCTAAGTTAAACTTACATATTACATCAGAGCATTATAAGGGCCAGCGAGATAGCTCAGCAGACTAAGTACCTGCTTAGGCAAGTGCAGGGACTGGGGTTCAATCCCTAGTACCACATGCTGTGCTGGCCCTGCCCCCAGGGTACGCTGAGCTGGGGACTCCACAAGGTAATCCCAGCTGTAATCTGTAATCCCAGCGCCTGGGGAGGCTGAAAGCAGGATCACTACAAGTCCAAACTGTGTAGTGAGACTACCAAAAAAAAAAAAAATTAAAAATTAAAAAAAGCATTACAGTTTATAGACTTTTATTTGAGAAATGCCAATGAATATAGCCAGTGTGTCTGTTTTTTTTTTAAGTAGGATGACTACAAAATTGTTACACATTTTCTCAGTATAAGCTGCTTAGAAATTATTCACATAGTCATCTCTGTTCATTTTTAACTCTTTACCCTTGTAAGCTGTGATACTTAAGTGTAGACAGTGACTCAATGCTAGTTTTGTTCTAAAGATCTATCCCTGCTGTAGACAGTGACATTACATTTTTTAAAAAGCGTTACTTTCTTTTTATGTGTTTTCCCCCCTTTTTGTCTAAATAGAAACTGTATCTTGTCAAGTAAAACCCTACTCAAAACTTATAAGTTCGTATATCACTTGTCCACAGAGAGTACGATTATCTTTGGAGAATAACAAAGTATATAGTATATATGTATCGAAAGTTAGAATGGAAGTCAACTTAGCTTATGTAATTTTTTTCAACTTTAGAAATATTGAGGCAAAACTGTCATTCTTTTTAAAAGATAAAGCTACCATGTTAATGCTGCTCAGATATGGAAATCTTAGTTATGTAGTCTTCCAGGTAAATGAAGAGTACTATTAAATTCATCAGCGTTACAGCATGGCACTTCAGATTTACAGAATACAAGTCTTTCAAAATTTCTATTTTATTTTTGTATGTAGATAAGCTTGTTAATTTATTGTTATGTATCACAGATTACGGTTTTGTTAAAATGGTATAGACTATGAAGTTTCCAAAGATAGTTACTACTAATTAAACTTGAAGTTTTAAGTTACTGATGCCCCCATGTGGTAGAAAACATATTTTGTTTTTGTTAAAAATCTGCAGAATGTCTGTTAGATTTCCTTAATAGTGGTCATTAGTGTTCATGAGAAGCTGTTGATCCAGAGTCTTAGTTTGAATTTTGTAAAGCTCATTGCCATAAAATTCACAGCCTTACCTGTATTGTCTCAGAAGTGCATGTAACCACGCACATACATTGAGACAAAGTATTGGAAGCTATTTAATTACAAATAGCATAGGGATTTTCTGATCTTGTATGTGATTTCTTAATATCTCTGTGTTTGTGTCTCACATAGGTGATGTACAGTTCATTGATTATGAATATTCTGGATACAACTACCTGGCATATGATATTGGAAACCATTTCAACGAATTTGCAGGTAAAATCCAAAGCTTAAATAATGGAATAACTTACTTAACTTTGAAATGGCATTTTCAGAATTACTTTCTTTTCCTAAGAGATCAGCTGGTGACATGAGCAACTTTTTATACTTCTACTATTGATCTTTTTCCTTTCTTTCTCCTCGTTACTAAGATTTCTTTCATAATTGCCTTCAGAAAATAATGGCTAGGAGAACTTGATAGCAGTGGCTTCTGTTGAGGCTTTAAGGTGTCAACAGCTGAACCTAATTGTCATTTAAAACATTTGCTTGGGTTTCAGGGCATAATTCAGTGGTGCAGAGTATTTACCTAGTAACTTGAGGCCCTGGGTTTGATCCCTAGAACTGGGAAACAAACGAAACATGCAGAGTGAACTTGTACTTTTGAAATGTCTTTTTTTTTATTTTTCTTTGCGGTACTGGGGATTGAACTCATGACCATGTGCTTGCCAGGCAAGTGCTTACACTGCTGAGCTATATCCCTGGCCCTTGAAATGTCTGGTTTTTTTTTTGAAATGTCTGTTTTTAAAGCTCAGGATTTCTTAAATATTTTGATTAAGATGATGAGAATGTTAGTAATTTTTACTCCTGAATGTGAATCTATAATCATCAAGTTTAGTTGCTTTTATGTAACTGATTAATTTAAAGCTCGTTTTAATGCTCTGTATTTAGAAATGGAAACTGTCCTGTAAGGATTAGGAAATTCCTTTGATAGTTTATACCTACTAGAAATATTTCACAGCTGAATTTGTATTTGTGCACATTCTTTTATTCATGTGTTCTTGTATATTTCAGGTTTGCAAACAAGTTGGAGAAAATGTTTGATGGATACATTGCCAGTTATTTTCTCCCACCAAGCTTATTATATGTAGATCATAAATCCACATATGTGCTGCTTCATTTCTTTTTTAATGTGGAGTATATACTGGGAATTGAATTTAGGGCCTTTGCTCTGAGCTACATCCTCCATCCCTTTATAGGTTTGGGACAGGATCTTGTGAAGTCACTAACTTGCCAAGTAGGGCTTGATCTTGAGAGCCTCTTGCCTCGGTGTCCCAGATTGCTGGATAAATTACAGGCCTGTGGCAGCATGCCTGGCTGCTGCTTACATTTCCCTATCTCATTGTAGGTGGGAAGACCAGTTGTACATATAATTGACAACAACCACATTAGTAACATAGATAATGTGCATATGAACAAGCAAACTACAGTGATCTTCAGGCAGTTTTGTAGAGAAAAAAATTGCTAAATTTTGAAAGTTAGGTAGAATTTGAATATTTAAATATAAGAAAAAGGAACATGCTACAGAGAAGAAGAAAGTGTAAGTTCTCTTTTGTAGGTACAGTGTAAAATTGCTGATGAAAGAAGACAAGCTGCAAAATTAGATGTTTAGATCACTTTATGAAGAACCGTTATCTTTTGTTTTGGCCACCTCAGCCTACTCTGAGGGCAGGGCTGGTGCAGCCTGTGATGCTGGGGATAAAAACGCAGTCCCTGTGCTTGCTTAAGCTTGCCTAAGCAGGCGCTTCAGACTGCTGAGGTATCTTGTCGGCCAAGAACCGTATCTTCTAGATTTATATATTTCAAACAGTAAATCATGAAATCAGATTTGTAGTTTTTTTTTTTATTTAAAGAATCGAAAAATAGAACTATTAGAGTTGAAAGATAGAGTATATTTTGTTCTGTGAAACATAGTAACAGGTACATGTATAAGGTCTCAGTAAAATATGTACTTCTTACCCCAATTCATGTTCAAAGAGTTTTAGAGCCACAGTTTAAGATTTTTGAGCCAAACTGTGCTCTTAGTGTGCTGAAGACCCTCCTCCTGGCACTAGCTCAATGGCAGATGTAGGGCTCTGGATGCAGGTGGTTCAAGCTACACACCTTGAAGGAAAGTTGAAGCAGTGGAGGTTGATTATGGTAATGGAGTTAAAGATTAAGTTGGAACAGAATGGTTTATTATTTTAATAAATGCTGTTTAACATGTACTGTTGCAATCAGAAATGAAAAGATTTTGTTAGGTTTTTATGAAAAAATGGTGGTGGTAATTATTAAGATATAGGGAAGAGTGTGTGTTCTTAAAACTTCCCATGTATTTTTTTTTGTTTTTTTCCCCTCTCAGGTGTAAGCGATGTGGACTATAGTCTTTATCCAGATAGAGAGCTACAAAGCCAGTGGCTGCGTTCTTACCTTGAAGCCTACAAAGAGTATAAGGGTTTTAGGAGCGAGGTTACTGAAAAGGAGGTAGAAATACTCTTCATCCAAGTCAATCAGTTTGCATTGGTAAGTTTGAATGTAAATAATGATTCTTAATATAACTTTAAAAGCTTCTAAATTTCCAATTTTCAGTTTTGTGAACTTTTGTTCAAAATAATGAAAAAACATAATTATTTACAGTTTTATCTCATTGCCTTGCTTTTGAGAACAAAATTATCGTTTCATCAACTATTATCTCCACAGCCTGCAGACCAGTGCTTGGCCCTCTGGGAGGTTCTCAATGAATGGAAGTTAGGGTTAGAATTAATATATAAAATTGTTTCTTGTATCTATTTCTTTGTATTATAAACACACATGTAATCAAAGGAAAACTTACAGGAAACGAGGTTTTCCATAGTACATTTGCTCATCACATCTCACTGCTAAAAGTAGAATGGAAAAACTAGTAGAATGGAAAAACTAGTAGAATTATATTTTTATGACCCAATCCATTGTTTTATCTTCTTGACCTTTCTTAATAAACAATTATTTGTTTCTTGTGATAATGTTAATGCGTTCTTAGCTTCAGAAATCTGCTTTTCTTTATGGGTTTTTAACTTAAGTTATTTTTATTTAATTATTATTTTTAGTTGCAATACTGGGATTGAACCTAGGTGCTCTATCGCTGACTTACAGCCCCAAATCCTTTTTGAGAAAGGTCTTACTTAGTTATCTAGGCTGGCCTGGAACTTGCAGTACTCTTGTCTCAGCCTCCTGAGTAGCTGGCATTACAGGCAGTGTCTGCCATGCTTGACTCATGTCCTTTATTTTTTAAGAAACACATTTAAATTCTGTGAGGACAAAATGATACATGAGCAGGAGCTTTGAACCAAGATATTAAACAGTTAAATCAAATACCAAGCAATTATATTAGCTCTTTACACCCAGTTGTCTTTACAAATCGACCCTTTTGGTGGCCCACAAATATAGTGGTCCATAATAATCTTAACAGCGACAAGCTTTCCCCTGAGGCTACTCAGACTGCATTGTAAGTAAGGGGCTGTGCTGTAATGTGCCTTAACCTGCTGTTCATATACCTATTTTTAGTAGAACTGTTGGTTCAATTAATGACATACTCTCTAGCCAGTCTTATAGTGCCTACTGTTTTTGTTTATTCTATTGATGCATGAGTTTAAAGTAGAAAATGAAGGGTTTCCTTCCTCCTATTAAGTCATTGTTTAGATGATTTTGTGGTAACGAGGAATATTATCACTGCTGCAGTTTACATTTTTCTATGCGCTCACTTAATTTTTTTCATTCATAAGGCATTGATCTTACTAATTTCTGCATATCTAATTCTTAGTTAACAGTCCTGCTTGCTTTTAGAAAGCTAAATTGGATTTACTTGTAAGCATTTGTGTTTAACACCTCTTTTTGGATATCATGGTCATTATTTGTACATGGCATTAAAAAATACAGTTACTTCTGGTCTGATCATGAAGCTCCTCATAATTATTCATTAGGTATAAAAAACACTGGTGGGCTAGTTTAGGTAGATTGGAAGCAACTTAAAGTATTCCTTCAAAAATGCTTAGAATTTAGAACAACAAGTAAGATATACCAAGTAACTTTTGGGGGGTAATATTTAACACGCGTCTCAGTTTAGAAGTTGAAGCAAATTAGAATTGGGAGAAATTCCTTTAACCTAATTTAAGAAAAAATACCTTTATGAAAGGTAAATACATTTATAAAATGTGTCACATATTGAATAAGACATCTGATAGGAAAATGATAAAGGGCAGTTGATAGAGACACAAAACTTTGAGACTCTTAATATTCCTTGTAGCATGTACTTTGAGTTTAAATATGTTTAGCTTTTGAATAAGCATTATGTAGTAAGCTTATTTATACTGTGAGGACCTGTTATCACCTTCCAGTTCTTTCTCATTAAGAAACCATTGAAAATGTTTTATTTATTCAGCTAATTTTTGTTTTAATTCCTCTTCTTTTATTGAAATTCTGTGATCCTTTGTTTTATGCTTGCTTATCCTTTATTTTCTTGCATCAGGGCCTGCCTTGCTGTCTTCACATAGGAAGGGTATGGTAGGAAGTGGGCTCTACCTTCTTTTTAACCAACAAAATTACTCTCTTCTCTTCCTAAGTCCTCTTTAATTCCTGGGAGCATCATGAGATATATGTCACCTCCCAGGTGTTTGAAGGAATACTTTATCGGGAATGTAGAGTGAAATAAAAGCAAGCCCTCAGTCTTTCTCCTTTATCCTCTTTCGTGCATGTCTTATATAGCTGCAAACTTGCCTTTTTCTGTACTGTGAAGAAGTTGTGGGAAGGGTAATCAATCATGACATAGTTGCTGTAAAATAAGGTAAATGTTAGTTTATAAGTTCTTACCTAATGTGGCCATAGAGACTGTTTGGTCGTACCTTACTTGATGTGACCATAGATAACATTTGACGGTATTAATCATTGATTATTAAAGTTTTATTTTTGTGATGGAATTCTAGTTTATACAGTGAAAATAGGTGGAAGTTCAAGCAGTGATTTCATGAATTAAGGAGAATTCTCTTTCCCCTTAGTTCACAGTAACGAGGAGAACACTGCAGACACATCTCAGGGAGCATGTGCAGTAGATGAGGTGCATTCACCACCTAGTGATGAGTTCTAAAATTATTCACGTGTAATCATTCAGTTAGGAAAAGCAAAGTCTAATTAAAGACAGAAGTGTCCTTTTTCACTAGTGCTTTTGTGGGAGACTCTGCCTTGAGATAGTCTGAAGCTTAATAGTATGAAGAAACTGAAATTTGGATCATTGATAGAGACAGCAATGAAAGCCTTGATATTAGATCATTTAGGGAAAGTAATCAGAAGTGAAGGGGGTAGGGGTCCCCAGTCGGAACACTGGAAATGCTAACATGTGAGGGATGGAGAAAGAGGAAGAATAAAGGAGCTGGGAAAAAAATGCTGGGCAGGAAGGCACAAGACCAGAAAAATGAAAAGTAGATTTGCTATGTAGGTTTAAATTCCAAATGCTTACGTAATTTTGCCATGTGAATGATGTATGTTTTTGTTGTAACCACTTGGAGTGCATTCCTAGTCCCTTGAAGAATGTGAGGAGCATGTGGTCACAAGTTGAAGGATAGCCTGAGCAACTTAACATAGCAAGACCCTGTCTCAGAATTTTTTAAAGGCCTGGGGAGGGTGGACATAAATTCAGTGCAAAGGCCTTGGGTTCGATCCCCAGCAAAACACACACACATACACACACCCTTATCCTTCACCTTGTGCATATCCATAACTTCCAAATGTAAAAGAAATACTTCAAGTATATTATTTTATCTGTATGTAAGTTCACTTTTTGGAAATGCAGCTCATAAATTGTACTGAATTGCTGACTTCTGTTGCTTCTTCTGTTAAGAGTCTAACATATGAAGCCACTCTGATATACAGGAGACTTAATACCAGCCATGGATAATTTTGTGTCACTTAAAACATGCCAGTGTGATTTAGATTAGTGATTCTCAAATATTTTAAATTCAGAAACTTTTTTATGTTTAAAAACTGTTTAAAGACCTCTGTGAACCTTTTTTGATGCAGCTTATCAGTATTTACCATATCAGAAATTTTAAAAAATTGAAGTGCTTACTGAATACATGTACTGAAAATAAAGTCATTACATCTAAGATAAATGCCACTTTAAAAAAAAACAAAAATTTATGAAGAGCACTATTTATGCACATTTCTTTAATGACTTCCTGAACTGAAGACAGATCTTCGGATCTGTTTCTATATTCCATCACTGTAGGACAGTGTTTCAGCTGAAGTATATATGGAGGGTATAACTTCACTTACATGCGTTATTGGAAAGAGGAATATTTTCCCCTTTCAAATAATTGTGTATATTCTTTTTGATACTGTAGCAAAATGTGACAAATGTTTTTTTTTTAATTTTATTTATTTATTTGTGTGTGTATGTGTGTGTGTGTGTGTGTGTGTGTGTGGCCAGCTCAGCCCACCAGGGGGCGGGGCGGGCTGGCTGGCATGTGGTGCTGGGGGATTAAACCGCAGTCCCTGTCTTTTGCTAAACTCTTCTAAGTAGGTGCTTTAGACCACTGAGCCATCTCACCATCCCCGACAAATGGTTTTTTAAACTCAGTTGCAGTATGTAATATGAACATAACCCTTTTTTTTTTACTCTGGTACCTTAAAGTTCATCTACCTGTGCATGCTTTTGGTAATTGAACAGTAACTGTTTGGAAGATACTGATACATTTAATTTTGTAGGACTGCCACTGTGCCAGAAGTTTATAGTACTAAAATCAATACAACTTTTCTCAAATTCCAATTTTTAGTTGAACATTCAGGTTTGAATATTGGAAAAAAATGCTATGTGCTATGAGTTATTTTCATTGAAATGAGAACTTTTTATATTTAAGAAAATATAATTATTTCATTGACTTTATATTGGTTTCAGTTTTTAATAACAAAGAATTATGTATATATAATTGATGAGTAAGATAGAATTAACCATTTGTTTTACAAAGAAATAGGTCCTCATAAGTCTTTTTCTTCTCTCCTTTTAAGGCTTCTCATTTCTTTTGGGGATTATGGGCTTTGATTCAAGCCAAATATTCTACTATTGACTTTGATTTCCTTGGGTAAGTTTAGTGTTTTACATGAATGCCATTTGTATCTGCTTTTGTTTGAATTAACATTTAGAACTCAAGGGGAACATTGTTGTTATTATTTGATTACATTCCAAAGGCTACATACATTTGATGATTGGTCTATAATCTCCTGTACTGAAGCTTGTTCAGTGCTCTCAGTATTAGCAAACTGTCCAGTAGGTGGTGCAGTAAACTAAAAATCTGTCCTTTGAAAACTTAGGAAGCTTAGAGAGTGAGTGAAAATAAAATGAAAAGTTTTTTGAATTTCACTAATTTTGTTGTCATTCTGTTTTCTCCCTAGGTATGCAATTGTTCGTTTTAACCAGTACTTTAAAATGAAGCCTGAGGTTACTGCATTAAAAGTGCCTGAATAAAGAAGAGATTTAATTAATTCTCAGTAGCTGAGCGATGGTTGTGAATTTTTTTCTTAAGAAATTCCACAAAGTCAATATCCATTAAAATTCTGTTAACTTAATTTGGTTATTTTGATTTACAAATTATGCCTCTAAAAAACCAATCTTATTTTTAAAATAGACTGAATGATGTCAAGAAATATACCTGTTGCTGTCAGAATGTGGTTGATTAGAGATATCTTAGATCTGCAAAAGGTGTAAAGATGTCAGTTTAAGCCTTTCATAATTTATGTCATGTGGGTTATTTATTATAAATTTAACATGATTCTGTGACTGCTTTCATCAGTTTCCTCTTAAGTATATATGTGTCAGAGTGTTCTAGAGAAGTGTTTTTAAAGTTCTATGTTATGATTGATTTTAGAAAACAATTCTGGTTGTTCAGTGTAACCTTTTTATTTTGATTCACTGTATGAAAGCATCATTTGCTTTTGAAATGCCAGTCGCTGACTGGTATAGATAACTTAGGATGGTCATATAAGATTATGAATGCAGAGGGGAAAATTGCATTCGCTGTCTCTGTGGGGTCCATCTTTTTAAGTTGAATATTGGAAAACGTATTTTCTTTAGGGGAAATACAAATTAGAATTAAATTCTTGTCTACATAGTCTGGCAATATAAACATATTTACCAAATAAGCTTAGAATAAAGATTATCACCAAAATCTGTATTGAAAAATGAATGCAAAATGCTAAATGTGGTCATTTAAGTTACTGCTTAAGTTTTACATTATCAAATTGTTTCTAACTAAAAAGTGTATTTTACTTGAGATGCTTTCTTTATATTAAATAATTGTTTGTATTGCTAATTTTTCAAATACTCAAAATTTATCATACTTGAAAACAAATTATTATTTAGATTAAGGTTTTTAAAAATCTATTCAGATTCATTCTTTTCCTTCCTCGCTTGAAGTTTTCATTTGTGTTGTTGTGACCTTAGTGTGATGATGATGACTTGGTACATGTGGTGTCAGAGTAACATGTTGAGGCAGTGAAAGGAGTCAGATAAGGAGTTAGGGTACATGTAGGATAGTGCACTGTCTTACACACTTAAAATCTGAAAAGTAACCATCGTAAAATGTGAATGAAGCAGAAATATTCATGGTAGGAGGGCTTCTGTTGTGTTTATTGTGTTTTTATATATTTTGTTTTGTACAGAGGTAAGAGGGAAGCATTTATATAGGAGGAAGGTAGTGCTTTGGAATAGCTAGGAAGGCTTCAAGTCTAGGCGCTGCTCTGTGAAGATGAGCAGTCGTGGTTAACTTTACTAGAAAACTAGTCTGACAAGCTTTGCACTTTGGTCACTTAAGTGCTCATGTACAAAGTTAGCATAATGGATCTGCATATTTCAAGTATGCAACTACAAGTTTATCCTCTGAGAAATCATCTGGGGAGTCTGATGTATTATTCCAAATGACTTATATTCTCAGACAAGTGCATTAAAATACTTGGATTATCTCAAGCTGTTTAAAGCTAATAAAGTAAGTCTAAACACTTAAAGGGCATTTTAAAAGGTGAATTCTAGTTACATAAGTAGGATCTACTATGTTTCTATCTGTAACAGTGTTAGACCAAGATTTGGTTTCTACCTCCCCAATATTATAAATGTTCATTTCTGTTTTTATAAACCATATTACTGTAAAATTAATATAATTTTGCCTAGCTGACTAAATGGATGGAACAATTAAATAAAAATTAATAGCTTTTTATAATGTTAAAGTGAACTTCATAAATTGTTTTTGGTGGAATTTTCATCTATGTTTAGAACATTATCATGGAATGATAAAGAATATGTAATACTTCTGCTTCTTTGCTTTTTGCCTTTGAAAATGCAAAAGTGTATATCATGTAGGTCTATGGGGGAAGGAGGAGTGATCGTTTTTCTACCTTACTCAGTAGTCTTACTTCCACCTGTTTTGATTAGAGATTGACGGAGCCATTGCGGGTAGACTGCATAGCTGCTAGCTGTGACATGACTGTAACTGTTTCAGAGAGAACATTTAAAAGTGAATGTTACCAGGAATGAAAGCTGTCAGGTTAACTAGCCCTCAAGTATGCTGTGGATCTTGGGAACAAATTAAGATACACAAAATAGTGCCCCCACTTTTGCCTGGATTTGGGATGTTGTAATGCTCCTACTTCCTGTACAGGTTTATTGGATTATGGTGCAGGCTGGTAATAGGGTTCAAAATTACTTCCCTTTATATTGGCCATTTAAAGGATTCTAAAGGAGGGTAAATTTCAACAGCTCTCTGAATTCATCCTTCTGAACTTTGACCTGTGGCTTGCTGAGATATCAGTTGCCTTTTTATTAAAGCTGAGGAACTTGAATGCCTTACGTAATCACTCAACTGATAGTAAGCTCATTTTGTAAATAGGAAAATGGTTGTTAGATGTGGCATTCATGTTTGTTTAATGTTAGTCAGTAGACCATAGTGGCCTGGATGCTTTAACAAGCAAAATTCCACATCCCCTCCTTTTTTCCCCTCCCATACATTTATGATTTTATCTGACAAGTAATGTTTGATTTTTTTCTCTCCTAACCCCCTGCTACCACCATTTTCTGGAAGTCAAAGAGACGTGGTAGTGAATCATGCTGTTCACATGATCGTCTGAGATCAATATGAGCACAAAACTCATCAACTAGGTCTGCCTGGATGTATATAAAACAGTGTAAATAAAAACTTATAAATTATTGTGAATTGTATCTTGCATATGAGATTGTGTGTTGTTTTGAATTCTCTTCCCTTTTGTAGACATTTTCCTGTCTGGAAATGATCCAGCTTGTTGGTTTAGACTGGAAATAGCCAATACTTCTGGCTGCACAGTGAGATAACAGGAACTGGAAATAGGGTTTATCAGCTTTGGTCAGTGTCTGTACTTATTTATTTAGCCTCTCAGTGCCTGATACGACTTTCCTCCATTTGTCAGTTGCTATTAATTTTTGTGAGGTTCGACTCCTGGATGCATTAAATTTATATACTATTACTAATAATACATGTCCATTCTCGAGTCACAGTTCTAAGCTAAGAAGAACTAAATATGATTTAATGATTGCAAACTGAAGTATTATCTTTTCTCACTTTAGGATTATTAACATTTTCTGCAAAAAATTTTGAAGTTCAGTGTGAATCTAAATCCCATATATGTATAAGAAATAAGTACTATCTCTCCCTTCAATTTAAGCATATCTCAAATGACGTCACTAAAGTTGTATGATTGTAAAAGACAAGATACAGCTAATTTTTTTTAATGTCAACTATTTCTGGTTTTTGGGGTTTTTTTGCTACAACTATTTTAACTTCATTAATGTATATTATACCAGACATCAGGAAACTGCCCCCAAACACTCTCAATTAAAAGCTTAAACCTCCACATTTAAAAGTAATCATGTATTTTTTTCATACCAAAGTCATATGTACCATTTTTTGAGTTCCTTATTTCATAATACAATTTAAGTATCCATTTTTTTGACTTAAGCTTCTTAGAAGTATTTTATACTGTGCCCAAAAGTAATATAAATTTAAGCTTTTAATATTCAGTTGATAGACAAAGTTTACTGTGTGAGAATTTAGTTATTGGCAGCTTCTTGCACAACTTTAGACAGAAGGCAAATGCTAGTAATTATGCACAATGGAAAAAGAATAACATGTATGTGGTGAAGTAGCTTTATTTTTATTTCAGAATACATTTAATCTGATTTTTCTTTGGTTTGTTGTATTTCAGAATGTCCTTTTACTAGGAAATTTAATTACATGTAAGGCACTCAATCTTGTTTTGATCCTTTACAAAAAAGAGAAATTTGCTACCTTGAGTCACCTTTACCTGCTACATGTATCCCTGCTGTGATTATAGTGTTAACTCCTGGGTTTGATGTTTTTAAACAGAAAAATTTACCATTTATATAATTTCCCCCCATTTTTGGAAATTAGACAGGAAGTGTTGCAACAAAAGAAAATACTTGAGGTTTGTATTACTTTGAATATTAGAAAACTGAAGTTAACAAGATGCTGGTGAGTTAGACATTTAACAGTTCTTACACTGAAAAGTTCATTTTGGGATCACAATGTGTTACGGAAAGAAAATCTGAATTATTTATATGAGCAAAAATAATGCATAAGCTCTGTAATGCTTTTTGTGTTTGAGGCATCTCAAACTCAAGTTTTTAGTGTCCTTCTGAAATTTTGTTTCTTGTCATTTCTGTGCTATATGTACTTAGTATACTACTGACATTATAAAACAGGGTTAAAATACTATTATATCTGTATTCACTATGAATCCTGTAGCTTTTCTCATTATGGAAATACTGCTCTCTGAAATGCCCTTATTTTTTTATTAACATTTTACCCAGTAAGGATGTTTGCGATTAATCACTTTAACAAAATTTAAGAGATTCATAAAAATTGAAAACATTGTATAATTGTATTTTAACTTGTCAGTAAAGACTAAGAAATAACCTAGCTGATTGTAATTGTAGGCTGTTAGTTAAAATTTCAAAACTTTTAACAAGGAACTTTTCAGAGATAGTTTGAAATCCAGTTGTATCTATGTAAACTAGTTCCTGTAACTTGGGAAGGAGCCCCCTAAAGGCTGTGGAGATGAGAGTGCTTGCTTCCCATAGTTTTAGTTGTGGTGTGTTGCTACTTAAGTTTAGGTAGTGACATACTTAAGTTTTTATTGTTCAATAATTAAGTTAGTTTTCTGTATGTATCTGCTAAAGGATAAATGAATGGAATCTGCAAAGAAGGAACTTTTTGACTGTACTGTATTTAGAAGCCTTTGTACAGGTCAAGTTTCCATGATACGAAGTATTTGAATTTTAGAACATGCTATCACTCTAAGGAAAAAGACATGATATTATCCCATGTGCAAGGAGAAAAAATGAAGAGTACTTGTCATCACATTAACTGTATGTTGAATTGGGAAACTGGCATAAAGCTGAAGTTTGTGTTCATCAAACGTGAACTATAGTAGTATAATGCTGCTCTGTATATACTGTAAGTGCTACAAAGAGTCTCAGCACTGAACATGTATTGATACCTCTCAAATGAATGCAACCTTCGATGTGGGTGTTCTGATATGCCTCAGAAAGTATCTGAGTGTCTGAGGATTTGTTAATCAGTTTGCTAATGGAGATACTTCCTGTTTTTCATTGCATATTTTCATGTTTAAAATTTAATTTTTACCTTTTTACTGCTGTTAATTTAAGTAAAATTAGTTCTGTGCAGAAAAGGCATTGCCTGTGAATAAAATTTAAAAAACAGCCTCATTCATGTAACTGCTTAAGTAAAAATAATTTTTGTTATATGTTCATGAACTTTTAATGAAACTATTTGTTTTTCTGTTCAAGCATAAATGATGTTTAGGCTTCATTTCTGATTAGTAAAGCTTTTTACCATTGATTAAATGAAGGAATGTATCTTTTTGAAGAGATTTATATTCTGTAAATAAAATTGGTTGTAACAAATAAAGTTGGGTTCTAACTACAGTGTATCCATATATTCCTCTCCCCACCTCGGAACCGGGGATTGAACTCAGGCCCTTGCACTTGCCAGCGAAGTGCTTATTCCACTGAGCCATCTCCCTGGCCCTCATAATTTTTATGGTATCAACTTACTGATATTTTTATTATGTAAAAGAAATACAGAACTTTTAAAAAGTAGTTTATGCCAGCACAGTTCATCCTAGCTAAATCTTGAAAGTAACTCACATGTCTTTATCAACAGACAGAATGGATAAAGCAAGCATGTTTACACAGAAGGGAGTACTACTCTGCCATAAAGAAAAGTAAACTTGAGTCATTTGTAGGAAAATGGATGTGCCTCGAGCTCATAATGCTAAGTGAAATGAATCAGACACACACGCTAGGTTTCACACGGTTGGTCTTACACGAATCCAAATTATAAAGAGCGAAATAAAATACAATAGGAAGTAGGGAGGTGGATCTCCTAGGGGAAGGGGCTCGAGGTAGAACAGGAGGGAGAGGAGGGAAGGGGTGAAAGTGAAGATAGGTTCATGTACTAGCTTCACACAAAGAACTAAACGTGCTGCTAGTAGAAGTATATATTTGGAGAGATTAAGTCACTTTCTGATTTCATCACTTTGTTAATAAGTTCTGAGAAAGTTTACTTTTGAAAATGTGAGAATATTGAGTATTACATAATTTGCAAACACACGCTGTTTAGTTTAAAAATTTGATATCCTTCTGATGGGCATGGTGGCACACACCTGTAATGCCAGTATTCAGGAGGCAGAGGCAGAAAGATTGAGCAAGTTCAAGGAATTCCTGCCTGAATTAGAGGGACTGGGTCTCCCCACCTCCCTAAAATGTGCTGTCCTTCTGACCACTCCTTCACACTTTGTCTTCATTATTCCTAAAGTGTACAGGCATGGTAGCAGTGGGTATAAAGATAGGTAAGATGAACACAGCCTTTAGGTGGTACTTACACCAGGATCAGTTTTTGACCACAAATGGTAATTTGTGTAGACGTATTTATAGAATCTTTTTCCAGATTGGGTTTGTCTGACATTTTCTAACGAAGCTTCAGGTTGTGTATCCCTAACAAAAGTGCTACAACCACAAGTGATGTGACAGTGGCTAGGGTTCCGTACCTGACATGGATGTTCATTTTGATTATCTGGCCAAAATATTTCCTGTTAGTTGCATAGCTTTTTTTCCATTCTACTTTAAGATTATATAAATGTTTTGCTCCTTGTCAAGCATGTCATTTTTCACCCTCCAGTTTGGCAGCACTAGATAATTCTTGCCTCTGCCCATCTTTATTTTGATGACTGAGTTCAAAAAATGAGTTCAGTTTCACCTTGTTCTGCATGTGCACTAACGTTTTGCTGCAAGCACATGCATCTTTCTGTTATCTATGTAGCTGTATTTCAAATTACACTCCGATTTCAGTTTCATCAATTAGGTTATAATCTAGTTCTTGAATTTGTTTTGCGGAAGTGGTATCAAGTATAGTTCTTTCATACTTTCTGGGAAACCAAGATATTCTAGACTCATCTTGCCTGCTTCGGCCCTGCAGTCAATCTTTTCTAAAGAGTCTGGTTCCTTTTAGAATCTTTTTGGTGATAGAAAACTAAGAAGTGTGTTCTACTGCTTAGGTATCACTGACTGATGCAAGGTCTTTTTTTGCTAGAAGAGCAAGTAAGGAAATATAACTATTTATATAGAAGTATGTATGAGCTTAGAAATGATGAGTCCATTCTGACTCCTTCATAACCAAACTTTCATTATCTCCTTGCATGAGGTTCATCTTTTAGTGCAGTATAGTCTTTCCAAACTATAGTCTTTGGGTATCATTACTGAATGAGTATTGTTACAGTTTTAAAGAGCTGTTGGGCTGGTGAGATAGCTCAGTAGACTAAGCACCTGCTCAGGCTAGTGCAGGGGCTAGGATTCAATCCCTGGCTTGGCCCTGCCCCTGGGCACACTGAGCTGGCCACCAAGACCAGGCATGGTGGTGCATACCTATAAACCTAGTGCTGGGAGTCTGAAAACAGCATCGCTGCAAGTCCGAGCTGCATAGTGAGACCCTGTTCCACATACATTAGAAAAAAAAAAAAATTGTTAAAGGAAATGGAAGAATAGGCAACAGAAATCGTATGTCACATGCAAGGCCTAAAATACTATGTGTCCCTTTACAGAAAATGTGCGGACTCCTTCCATATTAGATACCCTAGGAAGTACATTTACGTACTGTATTTCTTATATTCTGTACTTACACAATCTGTACCTTGTCTATAACTTTGACTTAAGACTTGACTGGATATGATATTCTTGACTGGCAGTAGCTTGAGTTCCTTAAGAATGTACTCTTTACATTAGAAAATTTCTCATGTTGGCCTGATTTTCTTAGCATTTTAAGAATATTGATTTTGATGCTTGTTTCTTTTTGCCTGTAGGTCTTGATGATTATTTGTTCGTCCTTTGGATGTAATCATTTTACTAAGATAATTTTGGCATTGGTTGCTGCTGGTGTATTTTCATGATATGAGCGGCTTCTTTCAGTGTTTTTTGTATTAGTCTTGTTAATTTGGCTTCTCAAATCCATTTTCTGACAGCCTCAGAGTAATCTGCTTAACCAGAAGAAATGCCTTCCCTACTTAAAACTCTTCAAAGCCTTCATCCTACCAGGCACATGGAACCAAGATTTTTAAAATATTGGTGACTATGGTTTGGTCTCAGCCTTTCTTGTGTTCTTTTGTATCTTCCAATTCCTTGGCCTATTTGTTTATGGTTCTGGCACTTTGGAGTCTGCTTTTGTTCATATTTTTCTTGACCAGACTGATTTCTTTTGCTTACTTCCTTGCTTTTTTTCTTTTCTTTTTAAATGTATTTAGTATAGGGTCTATAGGGTCTCACTACACAGATCAGACTTGTAGTTATTTTAACTTTTTCAGCCTCCCAAGCGCTGGAATTACAGGCGCACACCACCACACCCAGTCTCAATCACAGTCTCAGCGCGCCCAGGATCAAACCCCTGGCCCCTGCCGCTGCCTAAGCAGGCGCTTTAATCCGCTGAGCTAGCGGGCTGGCCACTGATTTCTGACTCTGCTAAAACTAAAAAGCTTTGCGAATCTCCTTGTCCTGAAGGCCAGCTTGCGCTTGGTCAGTTGTGCCCTCTTCCTCTTCTTCCTAGTGGTGGTCTGAGGATTCATCTGATGACAGTGGTCTGGTAGTGATGAGTGTGTCTCTGCGCAGACTTCATGCTCCATGGCTATGTGAACTTTATGTGCTTAGAGTCTTAGAACCAGACATAGTGGTACATAATGGGCTTCCATATATATTTCCGGATTGAAAAAAAAATATTTAGCTGAGAAATATTTCCAGTCAAGCAAAAACAAACAAAAACCCATCAACAACAAAACAGAATTTGAACTGGAGAGAGAGAGAGGGTGGGGGGGAGAGGAGAGAGAGACATTTGAGAAGTAGTTGTCCAGGATAATTTTCTGCGTTGATACTTGCAAAGCCACTTCACTGGAGAAACTGTTGATGACTTGGATCTTATAAATCCATTTTACACTTTCATTAGAGACTTTTGGGGGAAAGGCATGATTTAATTTTAATTTTAGTTGAGCCCCAACCGAGGTAGTATGTATATTCTTCAACTGCCATTAATTTTTCATTGGTGAGCATAAATCTAGTATCCTAGCAGTCTTTTGAACCCCCACTATATATATTTAAAATAAATTTATTATTATTTGTGTGCTGGGGATTGAATCCAGGGTTTTATCCCTAGACCTATTTTATTTTCTATTTTGAGGATAGGTCTTGAAAAGTTGCTAAGAAGTCCAGGCTCCTGCGCCTCATGCATAACACTGAAGTAACTAGCAAATGATTATTTTTCCCTTTAGATTATTTGCAGCCAAAACCTCTAACTTTTCCCGTAATACTATGCAAAAATCAATACCACCCCAGTTAAGCATTATAGGCTTTTATTTTTTCAAAGTGGCTGTTTATATTAAGTAGCTAGGCAGACAAGAATCTGTAGTTTTTCTAAAGAACTGGTAGTGGCACTGGATTGTTTCCTCTCATACCTTCATTCAACCAGAACATTACAAAAGAATAAATCTAAAACATTTTTTGACATAGTAAATGATTTTTCTGTTATTTTCACTCAACAAAAGGTTATATATCAACCATCCTAGCTTCTCAAATTTTCCGATTGTTGTTTTGCAACTATTTACAGTGTGAACGTTAACTGTTGAAAAATTATTTAGGCCCTGTAGTGAAACTGTATATTTAGTAACTAGTTGATGAAGAATTTCCATTTTAATCTTGCCACGTTTTAAGAAGCTAATTCAAACTGCTCTCTTTTGTCCTAGTTTTGTAATATTTGGAAAGAATTTAAAATGTTATTGTGCTTCTTTGCACCACTCCGCCCTGGCCACCATGGAAACATTAGACTGGTAGGTGTCTTATTAAAAGGCTGTCTTGGTGTCATCTCTGACAAGGACCTAACACAGTCCTGCTAAAAAAGATTGACTTTCAGCTTTGAAATACTCTAATAAAAATTTTTAAAAGTAAAGAAATGAACCATTTGACCATAGTTGCCAGTTAATTTATTTTGCTGCTAGAAGTAGAAGAATTGTTTTCCTTTGTCTTGTGTTGCTTCATGCGGTATTGACAGAATCCGTTTATTCATCTTCTGCAATAAAAATGGGAGTGAAGCTGAGAGAGTTGCTAGTTTTGCCATTCTCTGTAAAGATCAAATGGGGTGTCCTTCCTGCTCTTCTTTTTCCTTGTCATCCCAGAGACAATCAGAAACTGGAGGTAAGTATTTGGATTAAGTCCAATTGGACTTCCTGTTGTCTCCTCTCAAATAATATATATAGGCATTTCATGATAAGGCATTTTCAGCCAGCTTTTGGTTGTTATGGACTGAATGTTGCTGTCTTCCAAAATCTATATGTTGAAGTCTTAACCTCCCCATGACCCTAATCATGTGACTGTATTGGGAGACAGGACCT